CCGGCTGTTGGACAGGAAGATGGAAGGCTGTCCGGAGAGTTGTCCCGGTCAGGCTGTACCCGAAACAGTCCTACACACCCATGCTGGTTGAAATTGAGGGACATACATTAAATTTGACGATTAAATTTGGCGTTGACACGGATTGACTTACATCGCCTCTGTTCATGTCACAGACTTGGCTTTACGGACGACATTGCCAACAAAGGTAACTCCTGGCTTCATTATCCACTTCATGCAAATCTCACTTTTGTGCCCTCCTTTAATCGTTTTAGTTAGCTAGTGAGCAATTCTGTCATCTCCAACTTTTATTACCGGACAACAGAAGTAATCACAACTAGCATGCCATTTCCGTGTCAAATTTGTTCGAGGCTCTGCTCCCGTGTTCTAATACATCTTATTCAACACTGAGTTTATTATGACTGGAATTTAGACTAATTGTTAGTGCGCCTACAGTCTTATCACGAACCACTTCCTTGAATTTCATATTCAAAAAACTGTTAATAATACCACGGCGACTTATATGCGCTTACAATCCACTAGAGAAACACATCAAAGAGCACTGTTGTAATCAATACAAAAACTACTGCATTTGTGCACACGAGATAGACTGGTTGCCGTGCACACCACTGTTTCTACCGAATACCCAGTGGAATGAAGTGGATGTGTTCCTAATCTTGGCCCAAGACGTCAGTGATCGATAGTTGTTTTATTTCTTTTGAAGAGCGCCCTCGCACAACTAGGTTGTACTTACCTTCACTAACGCACGGCTAATTATGAGTCGTTGGGGCGCACTATGCACGGTGTCTGCTATAAAGAACTAACGTCTTGAAACCAAGACTAATGTGTCTCCTGCTCGACTTGTATGATCAACATGGTTTCTACCGATATTATCAGTTGTTTGAAAGACCAAGGTGGTTCACAAGGACACTGTAATTGTCAAAGTCACTATACTTACATCTTCTCCATGTAAATTGAAGGCATAGTTTTCTGTTAGAAGAGGGCGCTATTTATTTGAGGTGTGGCATATTCTGGAACGGGGAGGAGGGCGGCATTATTGTAAAATAGATTTCCCTTTATTTCAAATGTTAAGTATGTTCAAGGTCCCTTTTTTTCCTTTGGGTCTCTTGAAATGGCAGTGCATCTTCTGAGGTTGACTTTAAAGCATATTTCATAATTGACAGATGAGATCTGAAACGTCTTGAGAAAAATCTCTGAGACACGTGTAGCTTTATTATTATGCTTTCAGTTCCTCCAAAACGATCTTATAAGAAACTGAAGTTCACTGGCTAAGTTCAATAACGCATATAAAGTGTAATTGTCTCCATACGTTACCGGGGTTCGTTTCTATACGAATCGAATGATCAGGGCACCTTGAGTTCAATCATTGTGTTAATGGTCCATTTGTAAGATTGAACCAAGAGAGAGGCTGTACCTGCAAGCTTTAGTCCCTTTACGTAGAGGTATGGGTACCTTTGTAAACAATACGTGAAAGAGACTGTCTACAGGTTCACTTATGTTTCAACACGATGAGTGTGTGATTAATATTAATTTTGAAGGGTCTTTGCAAATGAGAAGCAGAAACACTGGGAAAACTCCACTTTTAAATACAGTGTATGGCTTTTCGGATCCAAGGCTAGTGTTGTCGAAAATTTGCAGCTGATGACGTAAAGAATGCCCAACGGTATTTTTCTCCTGTGTCGTAAAACAATACTGTCTATAAACCTGCTTTGCCTTCCTTTACTCATGGTATTTAATTGTGTTATCAACACTGTAAGGCTTGAACAAAGTCTACGATGCAGACAAATTTGTACCGTGTTCCTGCTGCTATTCGTAATTTGCAATCACGTTTATTTCATTAATAACCTCTTAGAATAGTACAACTAATAACATCGAGCAGTTTAAGAGAGAACTTTCAAACCAGGCTATGAAGTAACGCACAAGGGAAGAGCAAACTAATTCTGATGGCAAACGAAAGTCAAATTTAAAAGTAACTTAAATTGAAATCTTTATTAAAACAAAGCAAGGTGAAAAATAACTTCAATCACCTGACTCAAATTCAAATCGACAATTTGAAAGTAAAGCGTAAAATTCTCAAAATTAACTCAAAGCCAAAAGAAATGTTTCAATGGAAAAGAAATTCAATCTAAGATTTTTTCACACTTTATACGTTTTTACCAAGCAATGCATGCAGTTCAAATTTAAACGACAAAATGAAGTAGACAGAATAATGATGATCGGAACTCTTCCGAAAGGGTACCGAAAGAGTAGATTCACTGCATGCAGATCACATCAATCAAATTACAAATCATCAGCCTATCTGAACTTGCAAAGACGAACAAAACGGGATACAAAATAACAGAAAAAAGCCTTTAACTGCACTAAATACTATTAATACGTGGAAGGTAAATTGCCAGCAAATCAGCAATGCCTGCAAAATAAAACTAATTCTAGCAAAATACGAACCAATAATATATTTATTATTGGAAATGATTAACCTTTTTACTAGTGAGTATTAAGTTGTAATATAAACAGCTTTAAGAAATGGACAATAAGAGACAGGTTTGCGAGAAGTTGCCACTGCTATTAACACAGCAAATAATGACAAATATTTTGTCCATCAGTTCGTGCGTAGGTATCTGAGTAAATACAACAAATTCACTTTCTTTAAGCAAATTTTTTAATCGTATTGATCGCTAAAAGGAATGCTTTCTTCATTACCTATCGACTTTTGTTAATGAATTACCCATTCTTTACAAATTGAACATTCAAACGTTGACCATTTAATTTCAGATCCCTGAACTGAAAAAATAACATCGGTGACAAGTAATTTGAAAATGATTCTTCGGAATTTCAATATACCTTGAGCCATACACATTCATCTTCTTGTATTTTTACTTATTTTCCAGGGGACCAAAAAGCCAAGGGACAACGTCTTCCTAACCCCAGTCCTCCCCATAGCTGTTAGCATGTATAACACTATGTGTTAAGTTTGAATCAAAGGTTACATGCGATATTATAGCGATAGCTATTTATTTGAAACTAATCACAAAACTTGGTGCAAGCCATTGCTATGAAATATAAGAATACCTAATCTAATCATTATGCAATTGAATTACAGTAACTATACTTATTTATTGCTGTTCATGAGTATTTCCGTGTATGTACGAATATATGCCTATTGATCTTTTGCTCTTAAAATGCTGTATCAATATGTTTCCAACTCAAAACCTTGAAAGGAATCAAATAATCACTCAGAATGATTTCCACAATGAGTCTTTATATGATATGGACCATTGTATTGACCTAGTTATCGTCAAATTCTTTCTTGATGATGAAGTTTTCGTAGATGGTGGGTGACATGTAAATCTGCAAAATAACGGGAATATTGTATTTAGAACTTTTATGGAGAGTCGAATTAACTGTTTTACTTACCCTTCAGTTAAAAGATGTTCAACGAGCAAGAAAGTTTAGAAGAGCATATTGAACAAATCATTGCAAGTATGGTATTTTTGGATATATGGTGAATCAGTGTAAAAGTTGATAAATAAATACAAATAGTAGGCTTTCAACTGCAGAACCATATTTACTTGTTCATCCGAATGGGCGCTCATGTCCTCGAGAACTTCGTTGATTTCTTTGAAGGTCGGACGTTTGCTTGGAATTTCCTGCCAACACTCCAGCATCAGATTATAGCTTTATAAACAATGCAAGAAAGACACTTACTCTTCGTGTGAGAAATGCAAACCGATGT